CCTCTAAGCTGTGGAGTCTTGTGAGCAAAAATTCTACTTTGTGAGCTACTGGCATTAAAGTTGTGAGTGAGCGATTTGGCTCCTGCATAAATTAGTTTGCTCTGGAGCCATCCTTCCTGAGCTAAGACAAAAATGCGTGAGCTGGAGGCTAAAAAACTGTGAGCTAGCTCACACTAACTCAGCTTAGAGGGAACACTGCTTCCCACATATGCAGAGAGGTTTTCGGCAGCTAGCTCAAATGCCACAGTGTAGGAGAAGCACCATGTCTGTTGGATTCAGGTGAGGTAGCCGTGTTGGTCTGAAGCAGCAGAACAAAGTTAGAGTCCAGTGGCACCTTTAAGACTAATGAAGTTTTATTCACGGTATCAGCTTTCGTGTGCAAGCACACTCCCTCAGATACAGTGGAACAGAACCTCCTCAACCATTACTTATAGAGGGGTGGGTGGGTTTGTCAGGAAGGGCCATCTAGAGTCAAGATTCATAAGTGATTATAGCTGAGACTGGGTGTAAGAAAGATCTCTGAATGGCAGCAAATTAGCATACAGATACAAGAATTAACAAACAGATGTGGGAATGAGGCTTGAGTCCAGTGGCACCTACAAGACAGAGTTCAGTTCTGGGTAGAAGTGAGAACTGAGAGACTTAGTAAGTACACTCCTTCAGATTTGCCAGGTTGAGCTAATTAAAGATGCCTAAGTAACTGGAGTAAGCGTACTGTTGGAGGGAGCGACTCAGCATGCCTGGGCATTGGGGTGTGTGTGTTGCATTGCTTAAAGTGTGTATAAGTTGTATCTTCTTAATGGGATGCCTCTTTTTGTTTTTAACCTGGGAGATGTTCTCCGACCCCCTCCTGTCATCTTGTGCACTTTGTTGGAAGCTGTGGCTGGATGGTTGCGGCAGAGTCGGTTGAAGTTAAATCCATCAAAGATGGAGGTCCTATACCGGGGTCAAGGGGCATGGATGTGGGCACCAGGCTCCCCACACTGGAAGGGGCCACCTTTGGTGCCGACCAGACAGTGAGGAGCCTGGGAGTAACACTTTGTCCATGGAGGCCCAGGTTGCCACAGTTGCCAGATCTGCATTCCTCCGTCTTAGGCAGATCAGGCTACTGAAGCCCTGTCTCCCCCCCCAAGACCTAGCTATGGTGATCCATGCAATGGTCACTTCCAGGTTTGATTACTACAATGTGCTCTACACAGGCTTACCCATGAGGCTGATCCAGTAATTACAGCTGGAACAAAATGCAGCGGTGCACCTGCTGACGTCGATGCCTGTGCAGGCTCCTGTTCGACATGTGCTTTGTCAGCTGCACTGGTTACCAGTTGAGTACCAGATCCGCTTCAGGGTGTTGGTAATAACCTCCAAAGCCTTATATGGCCTGGGATCAAGATATCTAAGGGACCGCCTCTTCCTGTGTACACCTCAAAGAGCTTTATGCTCTAATAATCAACATCTCCTGGTGGTCCCTGACCCAAAAGATGTCCGTCTAGCCTCGACCAGGGCCAGGGCCTTCTCTGCCCTGGCCCCCACCTGGTGGAACATGCTCCCCATCGAGATCAGGGCCCTGCAGGGTCTTACTCAGTTCCGCAGGACCTGCAAGATGGAGCTGTTCTGCCAGGCCTTTGGTTGAGGCAGCGGGCGTCCACATACAGCCTCCCCAAGGTTGCTGTCCCCTACCTGCTGGCCATCCATCTATCAGTAATTTAAGGAAATGGATGAACAAATATGAATCATATATGTCTTAACATCACATAAGGCTCCAAATATTTCTCAAATGTACATCAGTATTCAATATGTGAAATACATGAACTGCAATAAATAGGCTGGAGATTTAAAGCAATATCTAACATTTACTATTTGACACTCCCAAAAGAAAGACTTCACAGATTCTTAGTTCACAATTTCTATGGACTGCAAAATATAATCTTCAAATGTCCATCAAGCAAGTACATCCACTTCTTAAGACTGAAGAAAAACAATATTAAACAATATAAAGTATGTTATAAACAGCATGTTGTAAACAGCAAGTAGATCCAGTCCTTAAGACTTGAGACAAACAATAAGAAATAGGCTGCAGTCAACTCATCCTCCAGATTATTCAATGAGTTTTCGATGCCTTCATCAGGACTGCAAATGGGGACTCCCAGAGAGGCACAGCCACAGGAACTTCTCAGCCAAAAATGCCTCCAAACTATCTTATTCTGCAGCAATGTCTCTACAGTAAAATTGTATACAATATATATCAACATCAAGATCACCTTGCCACTAGAATTTGACTTGCCAATAAAGATTAAATCTCTTACTAAAACTGCCTTATTGTCCTTTGTTCATGATGGATACGTGTAACCTGATTCTATAAGTATTCTTCCATCTAAATGAATGTAAAGATGGCTCTTGAGAGCTGCCAAGTATCTCCAAGTATCTTTATTGGCAAGTCAAATTCTAGTGACAAGGTGATCTTGATGTTGATATGTATTGTATACATACATCCCCCTCCCACCAAGGAGAGATGGGAAAAAAATTGCGACTTTCTAAGGCTTATCTCCGAAGGTGATTTGTTGGAACCACTCTGTGCTCCTCCCTTGCAAGGATCTGATTGGAAAGGAGAAATACCATTGCTCAGGAAATCAGTAGAACCAAGGAAGGATACAAGCACATGCTGCCTGCTGGCACTGCAGCACCTGAAGTTGAAAACATCACAGATATCTTTGGGGAGGGTAGCTTTGTTTCACTCAGAATCTTTCTACTGTTCTGGAAGATCATGATAATTACCTGAAGCAGCAATTTCCATGTATATCTTCAGCTCAGGTATTTTGTTATGCACACTCCTAGTCCCAGGTCATAACTCTTGTAGGTAGATAAGTACCATTCAGGCCCAAATTCAATTCTCTTCTGTTTTCTGAAGCTGTTACTTACCAGAAAAGCACCTATGGGAGGGATAATGGGTGTAGTTTTGTTCCTATTTGTGGTCCAAGATTCATCTCTAACAACATTGCTATCCTAAGTGGAATTATCGTCCAGTGAATAATCAGATTTTGCTATATACAAAACAACCTTCTTGCTTTCTCTCTTTGGCCTTACAGTGGAAAAGATATAATAGATCCAAGCCTGAAACACCAAGTGAATTACCTGAGAATCCCAAATTTGGTGAAGAAAGGTTTGGCCAAAATCATCAAACCATGGGTGAGTTTGTGACCTTTTAGGATTACACTGTGATAGGCTGTTTCTATCAATCTGAGGGGACCCACACAGCCTCCTATGATTTTGGGGGATAGAATCTGAACTTTAAAATACATGCTGCTGGGTTCTGAACTGGATGACACTAAGATTGAAAAAGATCTTGGGGTTATGATGGAGAGCTCAGTGAAAATGTAGACTCTGTGCAGCAGTGGTAAAAAAAAATGAATTCCATACTGGGGAATAATAGGAATGTGATTAAGATTTAACACAGCCAATATTGTGATGCCCTTGTAAAAAAGTGATGGTGCATCAATATTTGGAATATCATGTATAATTCTGGTTGCTGTATCTCAAAGAGGATATAGCAAATCTGGAAAAAGCACAGAAGAAGGCAATCAAAATAATTAAGGGATTGGAGCACTTTTCATTTGAGGAAAGGCTGAACACTCTGGGACTTTTCAGTTTAGAAAAAAGAAGGGGGGCATGCTAGAGCTTTGTAAAATTAAGCATGGGTATAAAAAGTGGATTGCAGAAGCTTTTTCATCCTCTCCCATTATATTAGGGCCAGCCAATGAATTGTCTGAGCAATAGGTACAGGGCTGACTTGCTCAACAAGTAATTGTGGAATTCACTGCCAGTAGAGGTAGTGAAGGCCACAAGCAGATATATTTCTAAAATGGGAGCTAGACAGATTCATGGAAAAGAGGTCGTCAATGGCGACTAGCCATGGTGACTAAAGGGAACCTCCACATTCAGAGGCAGGAAGCAACATCAGGGGATGGCCTTTGCCTTTGTGACCTGTTTGTTCACCCTCCAGGGCAACTGGTTGGCTACTGTATGAAACAGGATGCTGGTGGTCTGATACAGCAGGGCTCTTCATATGTTCTCACTTAAATGTCATGTATGTCATTGATTTCTTGTACTGGAAATTTATTTAGAGTTGATTTCCAAATTCTGGAGCTTTCCTGTTTTTTTTTAGACACATATTTTACTATCTCAATAGTTACTAAGATTCTAGAGGAATGAAAACTGAAGTAAAATTTACCTTCTTCATGTAGAAAAACATTGTGTTGAAGGCAGACATTTGCAAGGAGTGGGGTGTGTGTACAGGTTTTGGGACTAGGAAGAAAATTTGGATACTCATCCTACAAGGGAGAAGAGACTATTGGAGTTTCTGTAACAACTGAGGAAAGAAGGTATAGAATATTGAAATGAACAGAGAGGGTAGAAAATATATAAGAACAGCAATAGAGTGGTTGGTTATCGTGATCATTGTGCAAAAGGGAGTAGAATGCATCCAGGGTGGAGAGAACTGTAGAGTGATGCCCTGAGATAAAACTTTAGTAGGTAATCCACAGAGGAAGGTTATGGGGAAATAGTATTGGGGGTATTGCTTCTTAGCCTCTTGTAGGGTTGCCAAGTCGAATCTTCTTACCGGCGGGGGATCGTCGCCGGGCTCCGGGAGCTCTCCTCTGATGCACGCGCACACAGACCACCAGCACGTCCCGGAAGTGATGCGTGACTTCAATCACGTTGGGGGCGTGGCCCCGATCATCGGAGGGAAAACCCTAGAGTTTTCCCTCTGACGATCGAGGCTATGCCCCCAACGTGATCGACGTGGTTTCGTCACCTCTGGTGACGCAGCCACGCTGTGCTTAGGGGGGCGGAGTTCCCCCCGGGGCCCGATTCCGCGGTGGCAGAAATCGGGCCTCCAAAGTGGGAGTTTACCCGCTCCCGCCCCCACTTGGCAGCCCTAGCCTCTTGGCTAAGATCATGTGTATGTGTATAGATAGTATTGGGAGTGATTGTAACAGAAAAGGGATAAAACTGAAAATAAACAGTTGAAGTGAAGGGAAAATATAGGGAGGTAAGAAAAAAGAACAACATTCAGCCTGCACTCTATGACCCCATTACAGATAGTTCATGTGCAGAGACTGTTTTTATGTGTGTGGAGAGAAATGTTTGCTGAAAAAAAACAACTTCTGGAAGCAGAAATCTGACCACAATGTAGGGTTTCACCAGTTTCCAAACTTGGTGTGTGTGTGTGGGGGGGATTACAGTTTCTAGTCTCATTGAGAAAATCCAAAAATTGCTCTTAGATCCTTGTTCAGTAAAGTTGAGGCTGTTGCTCTCTCCCTCCCTCCCTCATATGAAGTGAACACATGAACACAAGCTGCCTTATACTCAATCAGACCCTTGGTCCTTAAAAGTCAGTATTCGCTACTCAGACTGGCCGCGGCTCTCCAGGGTCTCAGGCAGAGTGCCATGAAAATCTGTTGAGGAAAGTTAATAATCTAAAGCCTGAAGTTCTAAGACTTTGGACCTACCCTTATTATTTATGTGTGTGCTCTTGTACTACTAATAATGAGACCAAGAGTCTAGATTTCTACCTAATTTTGTTTTCATTCCAGTTTCCACGATTGGCCAACCATCTGAATGCATTGTGTGGAGTGAGGTAAGAGGTTCAGTACATTCCTAAAAATCTACAGAACCCCTCACGCCAGTCCAGGGATGAGAGGTAATCCTATACTTTAGCAGTACATTAAACAACAACCCACGAGATGGTCTAAACTCTCTCTGATTTTCAGAACCATATGCCACCAGAACCTCTACATTAGTTCCCCCCAACCTGAGATTAGAGGTTCAAACTCTCAGTTGGTATCTGGAATTTAACACATTAGCAACTCACTCAGAGATGCACACTTTTACTCTTACAAAGGTAGCTTAAATGGTGAGCAGAAGGCTACAAGATTTAGGCTTGGAACTCAGGTACAACATCAGAGACCATTTAACAATCAGAAGGATCTTTATTCAGTACAGAGATTAGTATAGACTACCAGAGATTACAAAATAGCAAAGGCTAGGGCAATTTGCCTTAACTACACATTAAAGATATTTATAGTTACCAGTGAAGTGTCCATATTCCAAGAGTGTCCAAGGTATACAGTCCAATTAGACACCAAGGGATTTTGAAGAGAAATCCCATCCTTGCACCCATGTGCTCCAGTTCACACTCTTTTGTCCCTCAAGGGCTGCATTTCAGGTGCAATAAAACAAGTAGAGACAGCAGGAGCAGAGAGCAAGCACACGGCTAAGAGACTCTCTCTCATTGGGATCAAACGATTATAGTCCAATTCCATTCATGATCAGCTGTGGCCATGCAACCAATCACGAGTGGACAGGGGATGTGTCCAATTGTTGGTTGTCATGGCTACGTGTGGGGATAGGCTAGAAGTTTGGGAACTCCTCCTGCTGTCAGGTGACCCAACTTCCAGCTTCTCCATTGCCTACGTGACTTTTTGCATGTCAGGTCTGCTCTTTCACTTAGAGGTGTGAAAGAATGTGTGGTTATATGGCATGGCTATTGAGTTTCTCTGGCCAAATGGACAGGCCATTTGGCTTCAACAGGAAACAATACACAGCATGTTATCAGAAGGACATCACAGGAGAAGGCATGGATTTTTAGAAATCAGTATTTCTATACACAAGCCCTTGGCAGGATATTTGCAACTTTAAGTGGAGTCTTCTCTCTCATTGAGCCATATTCTATTTCCTCTGTTAACTCAATGGTAAGCTTGGTTTGTTTTTTTATAATGCTTCAGGTATTAATGTAGCTTTCATGAAGGTGCCAGATAAAATTTTGAAAATTACGGGCATCTTGGATGTGGTGTCAAACAATAAAAGGCATCTGTTATGTTCTGTCAGACACCAACCTTCAGGTTGGGCCTGTAGATCTCCCAGACTTGCAATTGAACTCCAGACTACAGAGATCCATCCCCCCAGAGAAAATGGCTGCTTTGGAGGGTGGATTCCAATGGCATTATATCCTAACCTCCCCAAGCTCCACCCTCAAATCTTCAGGAATTTTCCAACCCAGAATTGGCAGTGCTAGCTCTAAAGTGTAGACTGAGCTTTAATATAAGGTAAAGCTAGTGTGTTTAATATGCATACACTTTCGTTACCTGTTCAGTAGAATGGCATTCCTCTGTCATTTTAATATGTTTGATATGTGTTGTATATTGTAGGTCTGTGAAGTCCCTGTGGGAGCAGCATGACAAAGTGAAGGTAACTTTTTTTAATTGGATGCAAATGGAAAAACAAAACTTAATTTGTACCGAGAAAGCAAAGAGGTAATTTGTATAGAGAAACCAATGAAGGAGATGAGATAGATGAATTGCTCTTCAGGGAGTTGCATCCAGCTTCAACCAGAGCAAGTTTGCTTCTGTTCCTTGCTGTGAATAATTGTCCCTGGAGTGGGGACCAGCCCATGGTGGGGTGGGGGAGGATGACACAGACACACATGCTGGGAGGAATTGATGACAACTTTGTTGATTACAGGCTCCTCAGGACTTGGCGCAGTATAGACTGGGGACAATGGGTGCAGCTGTCAGCAGCTTCTCCAACCCGCCTATTGGGGTAACTGGGGGCAGAGGACTGGTGTTAGGGCAGGAAGAAGCAAAAACTGCTATTCCTAGCCATCACCGTCCTCCTGGGGGGCACGGCCAATGTGTCAGCCTTGCAGTTGGCTGTCCTACATCCTGCCCCTTTTGGTCATGTGGGGAGCCCTCCCTGCACAACCTACAGTGTGTTCCCCAGCCAATGCCTAAATGCCAGCAGCCAGTTGTGACTCTTTTTAACAGTGCAGACAAGCATGCACAATAAATACATTCTTTGCTGTGGAGAAGGTGAAAACCCTGGGGCCCATCAGCCAATTAGCTCTGGGTAAAACTCCTTCCTGGCCCTGTTAACCAGCAACTGACTGCAGTCACAGCAAAGTAGAAGTAGCCACACAGAAAATAAACCCTGCAAGCAAGGGGTAGGAGGGTGGGTCTTTGCCGAGATACAGCTGCTGAATGCCAAGCACCTCTTCAGCCTTCTTCATTCATTCTGAGGTGTGAACCAGAGAGAAACCTGCATCCCACAGGTCTGCAAGCCTCACCCATCCTGTGATGAGCTGACCTCTGGGGCAGGCTGCAGGAAGCTGCTTGAGAGTTGATTGGCTGACAGCCAGTGCCGGGCCCAGTTGCTCAAAATCATCCAGGTTTCTTGCCCCCTTACTCAGGCATAAATGATCCCCCAGCTCATGGCTGGAACTATACTTATGTCGATAGTACATCCCAGCCTGTATGAATTTTGCACCATAAAAATCCAAAACTCAGTAACATAACCTGTAAACCTGCAAGGAAATACACATTCTTTGACAAATGAAAAATGGATTTAAGATGCATGATTGTGGCTCAGCGCCTCCACTGGAAACATACTTTATAAGCAAACCTGGAGTACAAGAATTGATTGACTGGATTCATGAGGCCCCTCTGGGCCATGCTTTAACTTCAAGGACCGCTAGGCTTACACCATACACTACAGTAGAGAACCAGGCCTCAAGGCTGTGTTTTAGTGAGTACTGAGATGTAGAATTGGCTTTGTGTGTCCTAAACATGAACATATATATTAAAATGTCTTGGAAAACTAGTGGCAATCTGTAGCATTGTTAGCAGCACTGTGTGTATACTGGTCTCAGAAACCACAGGTTATCTAATGTTCAATGTGTAGATAAAAGGAGGTGATACATTTCCACATGAATCCTAAAAAATATATTGGGCAGTATTTCCCCACATCTGCTTCCATCACTGCAGCCCACTCTCAGTCCTGAAAGATTACTCCTGACTGATCTCAGGATCCACACAGAGGCACAGCCATGAGGATTGGTGGACTGGAACAAAGAGTGACAAGAGGATTAAATCCCCTCCAGAGCAACTGTGTGGGCAGAACAGGAAGGAAGAGTGATTTCAACTCTTTGTCCAGCCCTTCCAACATGTTCCTCCATGTGGTTCCCAGAACTGATCCCTTCAAGGTCAGGAACAGCTGCAGCAATGGAGAGGAACACAGAGAGTGGTAGGATACTGCCCAACAAACTGACAGCATGCTGTCGATCTCAGTGCTTTTCTTTTGTCAGACTGTGGTTGAAGATAAGATGTGGGTATGTGATTGAAACTGAATCTGCACAAGTTTGAAACCATGATTAGCAGGTCTTATATGATGAGGATGAGGTTGGGGCTCCCATCTTTGAAGAGGTTCACACCTGTGATCACTCTGGTTCACAGCCTTGGGATGCACTTGAGTTCACAGCTGGACATGGCTGACTAAGGTGCTTTATACCTTTGTGTTAGATTCAAGGCTAATTTCTGTGATCCAGCTCTTCTTAATTTCAGCACTAGACTATTGGAATGGACATTACATAGTCATTCCTAGATAATAGTTCTGTAGCCTTGGCAGAATGCTGCAGCTTACTTTCTGTCAGGGATAAGTTGCACAAATATCTGTAGTATTTGGACTTAGTTTCAGGTGTAGGTTATGAGTCCATGGAGCCCTCAGTGACCTGGGTCCTTAGAAGCTCCCTTAGGTTGCGGTCACATGTGCCAGAAAAAACAGGGGGGGGGGGAGCAAAGCTATTTCCTCCGGAGGAATTTGACCTGCAGTTGCATAATCACACCTCCCTTTGAGCCTGCGGGTGCAGACCGTCAGTGTGTGATCAGACACGACTGCAGGTGAGTTGGGGTGTGTGTGTGCCTTTCCCCCCATGCACTTAATCAAGGAATCGATGAATTGCACCTCCACACCGAGGGCTCCCTATGGAGTTTGCATACTACGAAGGGGGGGGGGGAGACAATGGCACGGAGTCAGGATGGCCTGATCAGACCATCCTGATGCCATGAGAGCACGCTGGAGTGATCAGACACGGGAAAGCCCATCCATGGCCCATCGCAACCCATTTACTACTGGATTTTCTGTGGTGTCTTTTAACTCCACTTCTGCGGCGGAACAGAACGGGTTGCTGACGGGCTGCGGGGTGCTTCCCAGATGTTGTTGTCTGATTGTGCCCTTTAAATCCGCCCAGCATTTGCACCTATGTCAGGTCTAATTGTGCATATGATCACAGCCTATAGTATGTATTAATCAGCTTTTCTGCACTCACAGTGAGCATCAATGGTTTACTTTCAATGGAACCATTCTGAGTATCTCATTGACAACAGAGAAGCAAAACATTGATATGAATTTGACATTGGTGGGAGTGGATCCAGTAATGTTCTTCTCAGATAGGAACCCCTGCAGAGTTTCAAGGAATCTAGTCTAAATGTTTCCAGATCTCTCTAACTGTTGTTGCATTTCACAATCAGGCTTATTGTAAGAAGTTTGTTGATGAATGGAGGAAGTGCAAGTTAGATGTTGTCCTGTGCCCAGTCCTGGGTCCTGCCTTCACTCTTAGATATCCTGGGAAGCTACTGGGTAAGTGTCATGTTTCCAGGGTATGTCACTGAAATCTGGAAATATCCCATGTTAGTTAGTACTATGATGTTTTATGAATGTCTAGTACTGGATCTGAACTTGGGTCTCTTCTGAAATTGAACCTGTTCTCTCAGTGTTGACACTGATCCACCTGTGAGCAGATCTCCCATTGGTGCTTTTAGGAGCAAGTAGCAGCTGCTGGACAGTGAGAGACATTTTAACCCTTTTCTCTCCCACCATTTAACCCTTTTCTCTCCCACCATTTCCCCAGCCTCAACCCCCCCCCCTTTTTGGCCAAAGGGGGAAACATGCCAGTACATAGCTTTTTGTGTGGAAGGAGCTTTTTGTGTTCAGTCATATGAGCCCCAATCTACATGATGCAGTTCAGATTTATTACTACAGTGATAACTAGTGTTGTATATAACATAATTGCAGAGCAGAAAATATACACAGAAACAGCTGGTTCAGGTCTTAGAATGGTAATATAAATCCAGGGTTGTTGGTATAATAAACCCCACTCCCAACCATCTTTTCTTCTTCTTTTTTGAGTTTGCGTGCTCACCAGGAAAGCTGTATGTCCCATCTTTTTCTTAATTCCACTGATTTTTTGGACAATGGAATTTCTCCCTTCCAATCAGATCCTTGCAAGAGAGGAGCACAGAGCACCCTTGCCAATCACCTTTAAAGACAAGCCGCAGAGCTGCTGTTCTCTTTTCCTTGCTGCTTTTTGGGGGGCTGGGGGCAGCTTGTTCAGGGGTCCATAGAAGTCTAATTCTTGGCTCAACATTTGGGGGTTCTTTAAGGGACAGGCAGCATTCACTTTGTTGCAATTTTAGTGTTATTTGTTTAAAAATAGCCTCCCTGAAAGCCCCAAAAGGAAATAATGTTAGATCAACAAGAAGGGAGGGGAGATTCTGTGAAGGATGGGATGTGCTACAATGAATGACAAGAATGCTTATTGGAAACAATGGGAGAAGCCTGCTGCCTGAAGGCCCATTGGATACAATGGGACCCAGGAATGCCAGTTGACATGCATGGGTTCCACTGGAATACATTGCAGCACATCTAAGATGCAATGGAAATGTGGAAAAGATTCAGAGAAACCTGTCCTGGGCCTGGGATGACAACCCCTAGAGTGGAAAAACAGTTCTTGCACCAAGATTGACTGCTCTGGCACTGGAATGACAACTCCCAGACTGGAATGACAGACCCTGGGACTGGAATCTATGCTCAGGAACTGGAACGACAGTCCCTGGGACCATATAAAGTGCCCTGGGACTGGAATGACAGCCCCTGGAGCATTGATTCGAGTCCCAGAGGCCATCATTCTACTCTGGGGGCTGTCATTCCAATCATAGAGCTTTTTATCTGGGCCCAAGCACCACCATTCTACTCCCAGGAATTTTAATTTGACTCTAGAGCAGAGGTGTCCAACATGCAGCCCAAGGGCCAAATCCAGCCTGCACAGGGCTCAAAACTGCCCCCCCCCCAGCAGCTTCTTTCTCCTGCTTCCTTTTCCAGGGCTGCAGCTGCAGCTGCGCTCTACCTTGCTTTTTCCCAATTCTCTCAGTGGCTCTTTGCTTCCTGTTTCCTGCCTCTTGCCTCCCCCCCTCCCTCCCTCTCCCTCTCCCTCTCTCTCTCTCTCTCTCTCACACAGAGCTTCGTGGCTGCTTCATGCTGGAGAGATACAAAAACAAGACCCCCCCCCTCCCTCCCTCCCTCCCTCGCTCGCTCGCTTGCTCTCTCTCTCTCTCTCTCTCTCTCTCTCTCTCTCTCTCTCTCTCTCTCTCTCTCTCGCACTCACACACACAGATAGAGAGAGCCTTGTGGCTGCTTTGCCAGAGAGATTTTTGAGCAGTGTAACATATTTCAATGGAGCCTATGCAAGCCAACTGCTATGTTTGGCTCCCATTATATTAGGGTTGCCAACCTCCAGGTAGGGCCTGAAGATCTCCCGCTATTACAAGCAACTGATGTCCAGACAATAGAGATCAGTTTCCCTGGCGAAAATGGCTGCTCTGGAGGGTGGGCTCAGTGGCATTGTGGCTGTACCCTGCTGAGGTCCCTCCCCAAACTCAACCACCCGGATCTTCAGATGTTTCCCAACCTGGAGCTGACAGCCCTACATTATATCCATTTGCGCCTTTGGGCTTCTTCCATTGTTCCCAATAGGCATTCTGGTCATTCATTTTAGTACATCCCCTAATAGCAGAATGACAGAAAAAGAAGGGGGCAGGGGCGGGGTCTGCAAGGAAGCCACTTACTTTTTTTTTTTGAAACTCCTGGAGGGGTATTTTTATTTTTTCATTATGATTAAAAACAACAAAGAAAAATATAGGAAGGGGAACTACAACTATGGATAAAGAAAAGATACCCACACTAACTAAAAACCCAAGAGTGGGAGACCCCCTTTATGTTAAACTTAATATTAGTATTAAAAGAGTTAGTAAAACAATATACTTGTAGAGTTCTTGTTTTCCACATTGTTCTGTATTAGTAAATTAGTTATTATGAGAGAACTTTCTGAGCATCTTCTTTGTTTCAAAGGGCCATTTATCAGAGTCCTTCTGCCCTTACTTCGGCTTTCTGTCTCTAAAATCATATACAGTTTTCATTGCTCCCGCACGCGCTTCTGCAGCAGAGTCCTCATCCGTTCCTGAGGCAGCTGAGTCACTTGACTTAGTTTCTTCCTCTTTAGAGTCTTCCCCCAATCCCAGCTGACGTCTCAAGAATTCTTTGACTTTGAAGATGGAGTCTGTCTTCTCCCTTCTATCGTTAAATTTAAAGATGATACCTTCAGGAATCGCCCACCTGTACTGTATACCGTTTGTTTGAAGAAAAGTAATTAACTCCTTGTAACTCTCTTCTGATGAATTTCAAATGGAATGTCTTTTAAAGTCTTGATAATTGTATTCCCAAATTTCAGTGGAGTTGCTGAAGTTGCCTTTAATATAGCATCTCTGGTCTGTCTTCTTGCAAATCTCACCACAATCTCTCCAGGGAGGCTAATTTTTTAAATATAATTGGAGTAAGCCATATAAGCTGTCTCCATGTCTTTTATTATTTCCTCCACTGGCAAGCCTGTCACTGGAGCAATAATCTCACCCAGAGTCTTTTTCAAATCTTCTTTTTCTGTCTCAGGAACCCCCTAGAACCTGAGAATCATATTAGCCTTTTCCATTTGCAGCTGCAGCAAATGATTTTCTTGAAGATTTTGTTTCGTTTCCACTTCACCCATTCTTTTCTTCATCTTCTTGCTTGAGGTGTCTATCTCTGTAACTTTCTCAGCCACCTGCTCCACTTTTTTTTCCGTTTCTGCCAGCTGTCACTGTTGTGAAGCAAAGTTTTGATTTAACGAGGTCAGTTGCTGGTTAATACCATCGAGCTGATCCATCACTGGCTTAAGCATATCCACTAACAGCTTCATGACATCAGCTCCCTCTTCCGGCCTCGGACTCTGAGGCTTCACTTTAAACTTTCCTCGTGATGCCGCCATTTTTCAACTTTGTTTACACTTTCAAACCACTTCTCCCGGGCTCGAAGCACTCATCAGTTTGCTATTTGCACTCAAGTAATTCTCTCAAAATACACACACTGTCTTTTTCCTCCCACTCCCCCTTCGCTGCGTTTATCTGTCCTTGTGCTTCAGAGGCGTCCCTCTTTGCACTCCGCTTTTCCCACGGGGAGGGGGGGTGCCGTTTATCAAAGTTCGTTTACTTAGAACTCACATTCATTGTTGGTCACATTCCTGACCTCGCTCACATCGATTGTTGTTCCGCTCGGTCTCCCCCGCTTGTCCCAGTCGGGTTAGCTTGTGCCCTAAGGCCAATCATCGGTTGGACCATCAGAGCGGAGGGAAGCCTTGATTCTCTGGCAGCAAGCCGTTGAAGAGGCTAACCCTCAAAGCTCTCTGGCCTGGAGCCTTTCACAAAGACTCCATGGAAGTGCCACTTGAGGTGGCACCCCTCCATGCCGATGGTGTGCCTCCCCAAGCTCTGGGGAGAGCGACTGCCATCGCCAATCCATAGACCGGAAGTTTCCAGAAGCCACTTACTTTTTGAAAGGAAACAAACAGACCTCAATAAGGAAGGATGGCAAATGAGGAGTTGTCAGTGGAAAGGTAAGAAATTTTCATTGTCTCTGTAAGAATAGGAAACTATAGGTTTGTATTTTAAATGTCATGGCAAGCAGGAGCTCTTCTGCTATCACCATTTTAGGGAACAGTGGAGAATTTGCTGTGAGGCATCTAATCTCTTGGTCCAGTTCACTTGAAACTGTGAGGGGGGGGTGTTTTTAGTTTATATGGAGGAATGTGTTTTGTGTAAATTTGGTGGCATTATCTCTATAAGCAGTTGCCCAAGATAGCCTCATATCCCTTCCCCATTGAAAATAATGGTACTGAATTCTGAAACAGCACAGATTTGAATCCTGAAATTGTAATATCCTTCCTGAAAATAAGCAGTCATGGAAAAATCCCCCCAAGCCTAGATTTGGAATTATAACAAAAATGTTCTCAATGCCTAACCCTAGTGATAACTAGGTTCCTTCTAAACCTCTGAAAGCTTCTGAGGTAGTCACATGGATCTTTGTCATGAGCAGCATGAGGGTGTCTAAGCTCGTGGTCACACGGTCATTTTGATCAGGTTTCACAATTGTTCCCTATCACATTTAAAAGGGCTGATCAGACAGCCGATTCTGTCTCCCGTATCAAAGCGGACTCACCCCCACAATCCTCCCGGTTTTCTAGCGCGTTTTCCGACACTGGGAAAATCAAGTACTTTCCTACTACTTGCGCTGTGAATCCGCAATTTCTCCTATTTGGACAGCTATCTCTTGCTATGAATGCGATTCAGTCATCTGTACGTCCTTCTTGCGGTAGTTTATTTTTTTCTGGATTTCACGGTTTCTTTTTTTTTAAAGATTTTAGTTTATTTAGACAAACATAAAAACACAGAAAAAAAGAACATACACATAAAACATAGATGTTGGGGGGGAACTCTTACATCATTCAGATATCTGTTATACTACTTCTTACAGTATCCATTTGCTTATTAGTTACATAAAAACAGTATCATTTGTTTATGAGAACTGCATATATATGTAGGCAATTTCTATAATGTCTCTAATTTTAATAAAAGCTTATATAGTTCATTTACTGTATTCTGCCAGCCATGTATAGAATCTTGACTATGTATTTTGAAATTTTTCTTCTTGTCCTTTCAAAAATAAAGTCAGTTTATTCATCTCAGCAGTTTCAAGTGTTCTGGTTATAATTTTTCTTTTGAAGGTATTTCATCTTTTTTCCAGTATTTAGCATAAAATATTCTCGCAGTAGTTAACACATGTATAATAAGATAAAAGTCTTGTTTCTTACAATTTTCTGGTCTAATCTATATATACAAAAGAAACTCCCCTCACTGTAAAATCAACGCCCAGACCAAACTGCTGGACCAAGAGACACCAAATTCTGGGAGAGTGCTCCTACTGTGGCATAGGTGCTTGTTAAGAAGGGATTTTTAGAAATTCGACCCCTAAGTGGGTCAAAAGAGGGGAAATGTGCTCCCCCCATTGATTCCTATGCAGCTCCCAGGCGGCTGACTCCCTGCACCCCCCACTCTCTGATTGGTCAGCTGCAGAGCTCAGTGTTCTGAGGGGGAAAAAAAACAGTTACAGGGGACTGCACAGAGCTAATGACAGTTGAGGAAATCAGGAATGGCCAACCATCTGTGAGGGAAGCAAACCTGCTGGCCCAGCCTCTCTGATGGCTTCCAACACACTCCCCCCACCTCCTACATCTAACAGGCGGTTGTCTGTCAGGGGCAGCCCCACCTCCACAGTGACTTCTAATACTCCTCTTCCCTCCCCCTCCTACACTGGACAGGCAGCTGCCTGTCAGGTGTAGGAGAGGAGGTGGGATGGCTTTCAACATACACACACACCCCCTACACCTAACAGGCGGTTGTCTGTCAGGTGCAGCCCCACCTCCTCAGTGGCTTCTAATACTCCTCCCCCTCCCCTTCCTACACTGGACAGGCAGCTGCCTGTCAGGTGTAGGAGAGGAGGTGGAATGGCTTCCAACACACTCCCCCCACCTCCTACACCTAACAGGCAGTTGTCTGTAAGGTGCAGCAGTGGTTGTAGGGTGCTTAAAGCCATGAAGGAGCCTGCCCCAGGAGTAATGCCTTAGTGATCCTGCCAACCCTGCCTCCACAGTGGCTTCTAATACTCCTCCCCCCTCCCCGTCCTACACTGGACAGGCAGCTGCCTGTCAGGTGTTGAAGAGGAGGTGGGATGCTTACAGCCGCCGGGGAGGTTTGATCAGCAGGATTGCCTTAGTATTGCTGCTGTCCCAGC